ATATCACGGTTATCATGTTATGTGAGGAATCATTTGTTCGTATGGTAAAAAATAGTGTGTAATAAGTAAATCTTATGTTCTATTCGTACTATCTACAGAAATGAATACAAATTAAAAAGTGTTGATGATTATCACCTATCATATTCAATGATAACATGGTTACATACTGTAAAGTCAAAAACACCAAACTTGCTATTTTTGTTACGCTTTTTGCAAGCAAAATTTAAAATTTATCAGAATTTCGTGTTGGTTTTTTTCTTGAAGTTAGTAGTTCGGACACAAGTGATCAAATCATTCAGTAGCTAAGCTATTTTAAAGAGTGGTCTCTTTCTTTTTTTACACTTGGTGAAGTGCATTTTTTCGCTGATAGTTAACCTAATATAGAATAAATTAAATTTTTTTGAAATTTGTTTCCCATTGATTAGTGTAATTTGAATTTAGATTCTTTTTTAATTTTTCCTTGTTTATGATATACAGTTACTGGTATTTGAGTTTGGTTGCATGTAAACGCAATTTAACTACATGTAAATGGGAGACTACTGCAATTCCTCGACATCCGAATTCATCATCATCATCATCATCATCATCAGCATTAACATTGATTTATGATATATGGCTTGTTAATGGTGAACCAAAATTACAGTCTTTCAATCAGTTTGAACATCATTTCTCTTTTGAAACACATGGAATTGCACAAATGTTCTTTATATTTCTGTCACTCTATATTATTTTGAGTATAATAGCACATGTACGTTTTAAAAAGCTGTCTGTTATTTATTTTGTTTATGTAGTATGTTGTTGTAGGCGTCGTTACATGTTTAACCGAAAATATATTCGTTTACAATTTTTTAAGTATGATTTGTTGTAATTTATTGTTAGTAACAGTTTATTAACAATTGAATTACTTAGATAAAACGAACTTCCTTATGATTTAAGAGTTAATATTTTTTGCCGAGACGAAGTAAAAGAAGTATGTTTAGTGTTTTACTTTTTTTATATAATACAAAGTATAAGCATAAGTGTATTTAAATAAGGGTGTTATAACCGTGTACTAATTACACAAACAGAAATATTAATACAAGAGTTAGCGCAACGAAAATGCACTTCAATCAGTCTCGTATTTGATACAGCGTCAACTACTTAAAAAACAAACGAAAGCAAACGGTGTATCCTTTGCTCGTGTCGGAAATAATGTAAGGAAAAAATGAGTAGATAGAGAACTTTTCTCTCTCCTTGGGAATTACCCTTATAGGATGCAAGCTTTGTAGCTCCTAGTTCAACCGCACTCGTGCAGTTTAAAACTTTGGAGAGGAGATTATTAAGAATCCCAATCGTTAGCTGATCCACGTCAAAGTTTTGTAAATGACACTTATCCCAATCGAGGATTATTGCTTCGAACACTTTGGTTCTTTTGTTTAAAGACAACATATAACCCTGTTGATTTAAAAACTTTATAGAGTACTATTGCATTGTAGTGATTGCTTTGCAAGAAAACCGTATTACTGAGTTTTTAAAAAAAAAATTTGTGATGGAGTTACAGTTCGCTGTTAAATATGATCTAACCTGACTAGATTAAGATTTACTAGTTAAAGTAGGCCATTACTCAGTTGGATTAAATTTTCCCTTAACTAGTGCTTTCCTAAGATATTATAGAATTTGCCAAACATTTATTTCGTACGAGGATTCCATGTGCTGAATTGTACATACATATCTCCGTCATGCTACATCAATATGTCGATCTAATTCAGTCTTCTGTATAATAAGTGGCGATGCAGAAATGCTTGCTTGACATGCATTCCTCATCCCATGGCATGTATCGAAAGAATGAACATCCGGTAATGAAGATGCAGATCGTTCCCACTCATTTCATCTTCGTTATATTCTTCATTTGTCATTATTGCTTTATTGACAATATTAATGACGCTTGTATTTTTCAATCTACTGGCATCAATCCTTTAGTGATTGAATTTACACTGAAATTAGTTCTCTTAGTTTAGCTGGTGATTTTTTGTGATATAATGTAGGGCTTATTATCGTTGTTCTATTTTATTGTTATTGATCGATTTTATAATGATTTGTTACACAGGTCAAACTAGTCAATAACTGTTCACTTCACGTATGTCTCTATCTTACTCATCTTTGGCTGGCTACTGTGGGAGCAACGCTGGCTGCTGTTCACTGGCTTGTTTTCTCATTCGATGGTCGAGGACTAGGTCTGGTCTCAGAGTTGGGAACAGTAATTACACAATGGGCAGACTCGGTGTTCTTAGTTGTTCTGTTGTGTACATGTCAAATGGGTTTCAGTCCCCAGTATCCGTCAACTGCATTCCATTATTGTGATATTTCCAAAACTGTTCGTCCACGAACTTCCAAAGTCTCTTCTACTTTACCTGCTGGATTCCTTCACCTTGGTAAATTAAGTCATAAATTGTACATCTATGATCCTATCCAAGATGAAAATATTTGTGTTAGACCATCAACCAATCAGGAGAAGTCCACATCATTTTGGCCTTATGTAATTTTATTGGTTACTTTGTTACTTGGAGTCAAGACTTTACTGTATATATGGGCGATGGTGAGCTTTTTTATTTCCTATAACTATGGATATTATTTTAATTCATCTCTTTTCCTCTTTATGTTTACATTTGCCTGTATTGAGTATGTTGTTGTACTTAACACTATCATTTGATATAAACCTTCTGATCGATATGATATTAAAACATTTATATTACTAATTAGACGACTGATAGTCATTCATGTATGAGATGCCTTTAATGGAACTTGAAAATAATGTCCTAATGCATTTACATTTATTTCATTGAACACAACTACGATTGACTAAATGTTTGGATTTTGTTTTACGAAACACTCAGACTATGTTGATTTTTTTTTCTAGTTAATTTAGTTGATTACTTGTAATATTTCACTAATTACAATCTAAGTGTTCGTTCCTATAATAACTTTCAAACAACCATTGGAAAGTGGACAGCTGGTAAATATTTACTTTAAAACACTAATGTTGAGTGATTTGAATGATTCAAGTGAATTTTTAATGCCTTTTCATTTATTACTCTAGCCTAATATCTGACTCATCTGTTTGTTCAGTGACTTATGTAAACTTATTCTTTTTTGATCGGCTTTGTAACTGAGAGATCGCTGTTAACTTTTCATTGTCATTAGTTTTATGTACTCGCTAGGTTTTAAGGTGCTAGAGTAGAATCCCAGTTTTTTTTTCTTATTTTTTGTGCATATAAAGTTAAGTGGTAGCTGAGTAGTTGAAGTGTTCAATGTACAATGGTTGGGAAGAGGGTTGGAGGTTTGAACTTCACCTCAGCTACTTTGAGTTTAAGCAACTCTTCAGTATCTCTGTCTTTCACACAAAGTATGATTTCATCCAATCACATGAATCTCTAATGGTTTACGTAGTCATAAGCAAAGAAGAAAAATGCACACAGCCTCTTCATTTTGATAATTTTAAACTGGTTATCATTTTCGAGCATCATTCAAAATGTTACATTCTGAACATAAGGATCATCAATGTCAATAACATTGAATGGTTGTCGTTTTCCGATAGAACTAGTTCGGGAAAAAATTAAAGGAATTTTATTTTAACTAATTCTTGCAAAGAATTGGCATTTTTATGCTCAAATTATTAAAAGGTCTAGCTATTATTATTATTATTATTTTTGTTGTGATTATTATTATTATTATTATTATTATTATTATTATTATTATTATGGAGAACATTTTTTATTTCTATTGGTTAATTGGAATTTGTAAAATTCTTTTCATCTATTATGCAAGATTGCTTTCTTTTAACAATGAATATTGTAGATAACGGCAGCTAGTCAGGTAACTTTTATAGCCTTTTGCTTTATTGGATGGTGTTATGTTCAACTAGTTTATTAATCAATTATGGGAATATTTTATTTCATGAGCGGAATGATTTATTTGTACAACTATCAGTTTCAACTTAATGAATACTATCATTGATATGATTTCTTGTTTTACTATAGTTTTGTCGATCTCATTATGAATTATAAACTTTTCAGTTCCTAGTTGGATACCTTCAGTGAAATGGTTTAAACTCACTCGGAATCATATTCAATTTTATCTAGACTATGTTTACTAATACTTTTCTTTTCCCGATTGTATCGTTTTCACCAATAATTTACATTATTATTTTCAATTGTTTGCTTTTCATATGCTGTGAATTGCTTTTGTTCATTATACTAATGTGGAAAAACTTAGGTGAATGAACATTTGCATTAGTCGTTGTACATTGTTGTTACTTGATTTTAAATGTCTTGACAGTATTGGAATATATATGTGACTAATTATTTCAACTGTATATTCACTATTGAAGTGTGAAGATAGTTCTCTAACTAAAGTTTTGGTAGATTAAACTATTGACTGAAATGAGAAAGACAATACATCATTGACAACTGACCGAATCACCACAAAGCAAGTATATTCAACTCAAATTTAAGATTATTGTGCAACATTTTTATATCTTCAACATGTTTCAGATAAAATTAAATTGTATGTAAGAATTTTTCTTCAATGTTTGATTTTTTTTTTTCATATCTCTTGTAGTTTGATAGAGACCCTGTAATCGATTTCTCTGTTTGGAATACAGTACCTGGTTGTTTATTGTTAGCTTTAAGAATTTGCCTGGTATTTTGGATATTGGTAGTTGTAGGACGTAGACATTTTATCGCACAAATTTTCTCTGAGTTGTACAATATGGATTTATGTATCTTGGGTCCGAATATCAATACAATGCAATTTGCCGCTGGTTATCTTCTTTGGATTGTGATCTTACCATTAGTGGTGTTTATTGGCGAAACTAGTGTATCGCCTCTGTGGCGAACAAAAACCATATTAAGTAAGTAATTACTGGCAGGGTTGAATGTCATAGTTAATAAAGTTATTTTTTGTTAGCTTTTACTACTTTGACGTTTCGCTACTTAGTTGTAGGACTGAACCCTCTCCTCACCTATTTCATTTTGGCAATGTGGTGTTTATGACAAAACTTCAAATACTAAGCATAACTTTAATGCAAATGAAATAGATAGCTTATAATTCATTATTAAGTTGAAAGTGTTAACGTTTAATAGGATTGCATGTTTTTTGAAGCAATACACTATCCCGATGTTGGATCTATTTTATCTTTCAGTGTATTGTTATATCAGTATTCATTCAACACTGGTTCAATAATGTTAACTCTCATTTCTAAGATAATGTCTACCATTGTCATAAATTATATCTTAGTATAGAGACCTTCATATGAGTACTGAATAATAATTATTCAGTTTTTCGTACTGTACTGCAGGGAGTTGTCACGTTCATTTAATTATTAAGTTTTTAATGACAGACAATTGATAGTTAAATATTAAAACACATTCAAAATCACCCGCTATACTGTGAACATAGGAAGTGAAAATTAAAAGCGCCGAAAAAACGAACACACGAATTCCATGAGATAAAATCTCTTCAAGTGTCTAATAAACAGTAGTCTAAACTAATATTTATTCTTTTGTTTTTGAGAAGTAGATTAATTAATTAATTAATTAGCGTAAACGACTAATTTCATTGGCTACTTTTAGTGATTTATTGGAATTTCGATATTAATACAATCCGTTAAGTCTCTCACATCACATGTGTTTATCCATAAGACATTAGTTTGTGTCACTGTCACAGTCTAAAGATGTTTATTTAGAAGAAATCGCTGACTGAACAGTAGATTATAAATAATATACTGTAGACACTAGTCGTAGACATCTGATCAAATTGTCACATTATATCAGCTCAGTGAAATGAAATTCTCAAAACAAATGCTTACACAGTAACGTCTTCGAAAAATTCACTAAAGTTTAATCCGTCGAAAAATTCTTAGTAAGAATTTAATGTATTAATTATTGTTAGCTTTGTTCAAATAACGAATAAATCATCATGATGAAGTTTATAAAGAACTTAACTGTTTTAAACACTGTGGTCTATCTCTAAACATTCAGTTATTCATCACATATTTGTTATAATAGAGGTAACTATAATTCAGTATTGGCTTTATTGAACTGAATGTGTTTTTGGATTATTTCATTTCTTATAAGTTTATTTGTCATATTTCACCAGTAGAATGACATGAACATGGAAAAATACACTATTGATTAAGTTGAACTCATTATCTGAATTTTTTTTTTGTGATAAAGATTTTCAATGCTTCATAAAATAACACAATATCGGTTTGTATTGATTTTGTAATACATAAAAAAATTATCAAATTGACAAGTATCTATTTCTGCCATTATTGTCCATCTAACCATATTATCCATTAAAAGTTATTTGTTTGATAGTATTTAAGTATAACTAAACATGTGAACAATCCGTGGAACTACAATTGATTAGGTTAACTTTTCTGTTTAAGAGGAAAGTTTAATTGGGGAAGTTCACGTTACAACAATGGCTTCTCATATTAATGTTTAATATATATTGTGGCTACAAAGTGAACTAACCAGTGAATGTATGTATTCGTACGAATAGTTAATGTACTTCGATTAATACTAAGTCTCCTTTAAGTCTCTTTATAAGAAAGGTATGACTTTCAGTTACATTTAAGGGGTGGGGTTAGATTTTACGAATAACAGTTTACTGATATAAAATTGCGAGAGATTATTAAAGAGCCAAAGAATATGAAGCTTTTGAGTGTATTCAATCACTTTAAGTCGTTGGTAACTCGGTGCTCTGTGATCGCCTAACTTCAAGAGTTGTTTTAATTACATTGTTTTTTAGTTTCGTAGGTAATTTGGGAATAGATACTTTGTGTATTGGTAATAACATAGTTAACCTCAGTTGGAATTTATCAGCATGCTATATTTGTGGATATTCACTGTTTGTTCCGCTAACTCTGACTGACTTTATTTAATATAATATCGAGACTGACAGTGATGATAAACAATTATAAAGGATGTTATCAGGTATACACATTTTAAGGTTTCTTTACTTACGTCAGTAGTTGTGACTCAGTGTGTTGTGTACTATATCTTTGCGTTAGGATCTTTAAAAATTTAACTATTGTTCAGAATCCTGTTAGTTTAGTCAAATCATATGAATCAGAGACAATGCTTTTCTTTAAGTGTTATTTTAGAAATTAAGTTTCATTTAACAGTACGGTGGGATTGATTCAATAAAATATGAGCGGCTAATCTTCATCGATCAGTCCTAACTAAGGAATGGAGTGAAAATTTCAGTGAAGAGATTTTCGAAAATATTCTTCATTACATACTAACCACTTGTATGGGTATCAAATACCGAAAGAATGTTGAAGGATTTTTTCCATGGTAGTTCGGAAGTCATGAATAAAAGTCTAGCTATTAAGTGTTACGAGTCATTTTAAAATTGTTAGATGTGTAAATGTGCCGATTCTGGTCATCAACTTACCTTATAGGGAGATTTTAAAATTTACATCCTTTGGTAAATACACAATATTCAATAAGCTAGTAGTTACTAGGTTGGTGGATCCAACAACTTGTGTTCCAGTTCGAACTTTAGTCTAGGACATGGACGAAATCGTTTTTGACTATCTGTTTATCATAGTTTTGTGTACATACATATCAGTTAGTCATTCTGAGATCAGATAAGTTATACTGGAATACCTATTTATTCTCTGTTATTTATTTTATTTGGCATGTTATGATGATTAGGTTATATGTTAATGATCTTGATATTGATGTTATATCTTTTCATAAGCTGATTATCTATCACTTTTGATTTGAAAATAAACATCCAAACAATTCTTATTGTTTTATTTTGTTCTATTTTAGTAATATGCTTTTCTACTGATTATGTAGCAGCTGTTGCGTACGCTTGCTTTTTGTGGCGTTCAAAGTAAGTTTTTGAGATCGGTAATTTATTATTTCACTTGGTCAAGTGTAATATTTGATCTCTAAATTATCTTATTTGTTTTTACTTTTATCATCAAAAAGTTTCTTATTGTCCGGGGTATAGTTTAGTAGAGATAGGTAAACTGACAATCTCGGTTGACTTGAATAGGAGCAGTGTATTGGTTTACCGAGTAAAATCTTTAATAAATAGTTTAAAATTTAACTGGACTTACTGCATTTTGTTAAAACCCCTTAGTCGTACTATTTGATAAGTTTAGGAGAATCGTAGGATATTAAAAGAAAAGAGTGTATTAAAGTTCCGAAGATGAAATCGTCCAACTCTATGTATGTTTTCTTCTCCAACTCATCAGAAGAAAGTAATGAGGCATCTTGCTAAGAAAAACTAACCCGAGGAAATCGTTTTCAACGTCTAAACTTTGTCCTTGAAGTTGAAAGGTCTTTATATAGAAGAGTTATAACACCTCATGATGAAAGCTGAGATTTTTTGAAAGTTATGAGGCCCATCTCCTTACATCCAGAGTAATAAGTAAAACGGGTACATGAGACTTTCAAACAATGTAGGGGGCTGGAATGGTCAGTTGAGTAGCGGTAAAACTGAAAAGACACAACCTGGTTCTTTTTGGTATAGACACCGACCGGACAGAAAATACCAACTTTCCGATAGTTACTATGGAAACAAAGAAGGAATTCCATTCAGTGCTACGCGTCCACCAAAGATGATAACGAACTCAATGAAATCATCAATCAGTCATTGTTAGAGCACCATTAGAAACATGGAAGCACCGGACGACTGTTTCGTCCTGGGGATTCAAACACAAGACCTTCTGTCTTACAGCTTACCAACTGAAGCACTCAAGTCAGACATAATAATAACTCTGTTAATGTCCCTTGCTCTCTTCAGAAAGGTTTTGAAAGTAGAGCAAGTGCAGGTAGACTGGAAGGCGGAATATCCCGTCATGATGAGATACCGAAGAAAAGAGATCTTAGTGTAGGAACTAGAGACATAACACCTTTGTGTCAGATAAAGTTTTCAAGTGTTGTAGAGTCCGTAAGAAGCTTCAGTGGTCGCCCACCTTAGACATCAAGTTGACTTTCGTAAGGATAGATTATGGACCGACCAAATCGTGGCACCATATATGATTGTTGAGCGACCGGTTGCATGAAACTCATCACTATAGATAAGTTTCCTTGAGTGTGACAAAACATTCGACAGCGTAGATAGGAAGAGCTTATCGAAGCTTCTTCGATACTGTGGTGTACCCGAGAAGACTCACCATCATACGAAGTTCTTACTGCGGGTTACACTACAGTCATCCATGGTTACTAATTCACAGATACACTCCACGTGAAGACTGGTGTCAGATATAAACGCATTTCTTAGGTATACTATCGCATAGTAACTTGATCATTTATCTTCAGTGTTAGGTATAATTCATCCACATTCTTAAAAATAATACACTACAATTTTCTTTCAGTGATTAACAACACATTCAGGTTATGTTTGTGTTTATCAGTTTGAGAAACTTGATCATTGCATTAATACGGTAATCTTAAATGATTTTTAGTTATCTGCGATCTGACTCCGATATTTACGAATGATCGAGTGTGTGATGAAATAAATCTCCATCTTTCATATCCGCGTATCATACATAGGCAAACCCCGTTTGTGTAATGGCGGTAGTAAGAAGCCAAATACGATTTTGTAAATGAATTTATTTCATGCATTCATTTAAGCAGACAGGTGAAGATGAAAGGCTTACAAACAATACGAAGCGAAGTGAAGAAGGTTGGTAAGCCAACACAATGTAATGAAGCATGACTAAGTATTTATAGTTAGACAAAATAAGCTAAACATGTAGTAAGCAAAGCGGCACACACGCTCGAATAAAAACATCCAAATAGTTGGCAAGATCGGAAGACATGCGAATAACTCAAGAGGAATGGATTGTTTCAATTGTCTAAAGGCTGAAACAACAAGCCTTGTGGGCTCGACATAAAAGTACACGTACTACAGATTTTATATTTGTCTATATTTTAAACCATATTCAAGCTATATTTCTTACGTATTTCATTTTCATTCTTTTTTCTAAAGCTCACTTTTAGATGAGAACATGTTGGCTAATCGTTGTTCATTGTAGCTCCATTCATTCCTTTCTTCTTGCTTTTTCCTCTCCTTATCCAATATACTCTGTTCGAATTGCACAAATCAATTTACGTTTATCATATTTTGCACTATAATAATAATTATTATTTGTTCCCAGTAGTCGCTAAATTTATGCCTGACTAACAGATATTTCAGAAATACAATTTGTTGAGCGTTGTTTTTGTGTTGTTATTTGATAGACTCCATTGGTGCTTTGATATTTTGGAATTTCAAATGGTAACATCCAACACTATTTTTTCTCACTTCATTTTTCTTGTGGTGTTCTAAATTTTTACTATTTTTTTTTGGCTGCTTATTTTTACACTATTGTTTAATCTATTAGTCAATTGAAAATCTATGTTTTTACTGACAGATTAATCACAAAATCTAATTTGTAGCTAATTATTATTATAAAAGAGATAAATGGATTTCGGTCTATTCAATTAAAATGTATTTTTTTTTTAAAACTATCTCAATGATAATATTATGCGCATTTTCATTTAGGTGTATCGTTCAGTTCACGGTATAAGTGATACATTTTCGGACTCTAATTAATTGATTGGTTTGTAATAATTTTCAATAATATATTGAACAGATTAAGCAACGGCTTATTTACTATAATTATCATCATATTAAACTTCTTAAAGATCGAAGCATTTTGCACATATATTCTCTATATTAAGTGATTGTTTTGAGAAAGTTAATTACCATGTAATTGAAAAAAAAAACTATACCAACATTAAATCGAATTTTTCTCCAGGTCACAAAATGAAAAATAATGTACAAGTGTTGATATGTTTTTAATAGATAATTTTTCGTCATATCCAACATAATGACATCACTTCACGCTAAGTTTCTAAGGCTATTTACAAACCTGATTGGTAGAATAATAATAATAATAATAATAATAATAATAATAATAATAATAATAATAGCGATCAAAGTGGCTTGTGTTCAACTTGTGAATGTACTAATCTTAAATAATTAAATTTATTTAAGTGGTAGACCATTATGTTTTATCACCCTTTAGTATAGATCTAATTTTATCAATTGGGTTTGAGTCTTACAAAGAGTACATACTCTCTTAAGACTTCACGTATGACTTATTGAAAAGTGATTTCACTGTAAATTAATCTATTGGAGAATGATATCTTTAAGCATCTTCTATTCTATGGATGTAACTTAGGATTCTGAAGTTGTACTTAATTTAGGTAATATTGCTAGTTATATACCAACTACTCAAACAATATTGTGTTCTTCTGTAGCAATGTTATGTATACTCTGTGTTACGAACTTATATAATTCGCGTTTGTCAGAAACTATGTCAGTATTACCAATTCAATGGTTAGTTCCACGGCTTACAATTTACAACAATAATTACTGTTTAGATCAACAGATATGATATTTACCATAAACAGTTTATCCTTCTATAAGAGACTTAAAGTTTAACTTTTACAATTAACAAAAAATAGACCGACTTAAGCTGAATTAATTAGGGTTCTTTAGGTATCCACAAAATAAGCATCATTAAATGAATTTACTTCATAGCTATGATCAGGTCTTAAAAATACAGGATCGAGAATTGAATGATCCAAAATTTTTAAAAGTGTGATCATTTTGCTTTCAGCTAATAAAGTAAAGAGTCAACTTGTTCAAGATTCCTATTTATGTGGTTTTAAGTACTTATTGTTGCTCTTAACTTGAGGTGGATGATCTGACTCGTACAGACGTTTTAGTCCAAGAGATTGCTGCAAGATTGTTCGTATGATTGATGAATAGGGAAACGGGTGTGGGGGTTAGGGAATTATTAATTTTGTTTGCGATTAAATTCAAAAGTAAAAACTGAGCTACCAATCGAGGAGTTAAGATAACACAATCTATTGTTCACTTTGCCGATATCCACTTCAGAAAAATTAATTAAAATAATGGATAAATATCTAGTCATATCGCTTCCTGTTAGAAACCTCCGAAACAAAAATGATTCGGGTGATTTTCAGCAAGTTAGGTAAACAACCAAACCAAATAGCAACTAGAGCGTGAGCTTTTCATAGTCAGGAGACAAATGACTAAGCCTAGGTTAAAAAAAGAGGGCATTTTGTCATAAATTAGGTTAAATGTGGTTGAAAATAACTAGGTTTAGAATACAATCGGCAAATCATGGAGATCAATAACATAATAATTGAAAGTGGGAGAGTGTTCAATAATCATAAAAAACAAGACCATAGGTCATGATTGTAGTAAATAGGTTAGGCAGTGGACGGATAGAGTGTATCCGACGCTATCTGATCCTTGAGCAGAGATCGGCTTTTATTGCTTGATTAGATAGCTTTAGCAGTTGACTGATGGCTCACTGGTTGATTACCGGATTTGATCTTGTTACTTCTGTTTTAAGAAATAATACAGTCTTTATGGAGTTTCATAAATGTCTCCCTTACTAGGTCTGCTACGCATTTCGCCAATAACAATCTGGTGTAGCCGAGCTTGGCGTTTCAAATAATGATTTTACTTGATAGGAAGAAGTCAACAACAATAATGCCCACTCACCTGAGGTCCGAAAAAGTATTCAAATCAACGGTAAGGTAGAAGTGATGAGTCGACAAAATCTAGTAAGAATAGAATGCACTTATTCTCAAAAACTGAAGTGATGAATTCTACCAATCTTAAATAAGAAAAAAAGTAGATATTAGCAACCGGTATTTTATTTCTCTGATAAACACGGAGAACAATTGTACATCGTCAATGGTAATGTTAGATATTCTAATGTACATAAAACGGTTATATAGAACTTGTATATCCATGTTTGTAAAGATTAATCGGATGTAGGCCAGACAAAATAGTCATTGTTTAAATAAAAGAAATGGTATTTTAGACATGTGTACCGTGCAAACTGTAAAACCATATATGCTTAAAGACAAGATCACTTGTCGTTCGTCATGACTCAGCCTTATTTTTCAAGTATTTGTATTGTTATCGAGCAACTGTAATAGTATTTCTTAACTATCGTAGTGATCACCATATATGAGTAAATCAATATTATATCTGTTGAATTATTGTATATAAGTGTCTAAATTTTTAGCCATCATAACAATAAATAAATTTTAACCCTTTGTGTTAGTCAACTAAATGTGAAAACTGTTCTTTGTCTGATAAAATATTATTTTCATGTTGGTACATGAATTTTAAATTACTGATTACAACAAAAATAGCTTGTTGCTAAATAGCTAAACGTATCTGAACTATAATTTGCACCCGATCGTCTCAGTATGTATCTTTCTCGGAATCAGTTCAATTTCAATCAAAAACTAACAAGATTATTGAAATTCTATTTCAAGTCCTTTGTGTCGAAAATTCTGTAAATTCTATCAGTTAAGATTGATTGTTGGTAAATTGATGAGCCGTCAGATTTTCTCAAACTGAAATCTATTTCATGACTTTAACAGTCGAACTTGAAGTTGATGCTAAAATAACAGCTTTTTAGACCTACTAGAGAAAATGAGTTTTACATAAGTTTCGGCTCAAAATTTCTATCAAATGTCGCTGGTTTTTAGTTCATAAAACATGGTAAGATTTATCTGATGAATGCCTGTCCATTTGCTGATATATTCATTTCATATGTAGTTTTGGTCTGTTAGAGTTTAATATTTTCAGTTATTAGATCGTAGGCTCAAATTCTACCAACAAAAAATTTGACTAGTCGTTATGCAAAACTTGTAATTAAGTATTGAGTATGTAGATCTTTACTTAATAACTCAGTCTTATCACATCCAATTTAAGAAACTGGAGAATGTTGCTAAATTCATAAAAAACAGGAAACTAACACTATTTAGACACTGGTGAAGTTAAACTTCATCATAAAATTTTTTAGAAAACAACGTTTATGATTAGTATTCACCGAATTTCCGAACCCATTTGATACCTTTTAGATTTAGTCGATTCGGAGCATTGGAATTTTATATTTCTCTGGATCTTAAGTTTCAGTTTTATCATATACGTTACTTCTTTTACAACCATATCTTCAATATTTAGTCATATTAACTGATATCAGTACAAATATGATTTTGACTTCGGAATTTATTCTGTTAATTTTAAATAATCATGCCTATTTGTAACTCCACCTGTAGACCCTTCGGGGCTACTGCCGGTCCCAAGCCCGGATAAAGGAGGAGGGTTGGGCATGAGGTTGGCGAACCCATCCCGTCAAAAAACTTATTTGCCAGAAAAACGCTAACCAGAAGAAATAATTCAAACCAACAAACATAGAGACAAATAAATACTTTAATTGTCTCATACAGAATCAACGTGGTCAGAAATTTAATCTGACAGTGAAATGTTCAAACCTGTTAGTAGTTTGATTATAGTTGAAATATTGTGCTTTGTTTCCTTTTTTTAACTATTTAGACTTGTTTTAATTTATTTCAATTATTTATTTATTTACTTTGAAGAAATCAGTTGCATTAAATCACATTTAAGCATCCTTCAAAACAAAGAAAGAGGACATAACAATGAACGTCATCCAATGTTATGCACCTACCAATGACTACAATGATGACGTTAAAGATCAATTCTACGAAAGGCTGCAGTCAATCGTCGACAGATGCTCACCAAAGGATTTGACGATTCTAATGGGAGACCTGAATGCCAAGGTTGGCATGGACAACACTGGATATGAAGACATCATGGGGCGACATGGACTAGGAGAAAGGAACGAAAACGGTGAGAGATTTGCAAACCTATGTGCCTTCAACAAACTGGTCATCGGTGGCACAATATTCCCGCACAAACGCATACACAAAGCTACATGGATTTCACCGGACCATACTACTCAGAACCAAATCGACCATAACTGTATCAACAAAAATGTGTGAACCAAGAGAGGAGCTGATATAGCCTCAGATCACCACTTGCTGATCGCTAAAATAAAACTGAAACTCAAGAAACACTGGACAACGAGGCAGACAACATCACAGAAGTTTAATACAGCCTTTTTTCGGGATACTGTAAAACTCAGCGAATTCAAGATAGCCCAGACCAATAGGTTCCAGGCCTTGCACGATATACCCAATGGAGAGGAAGCGACATTGGAGAACAGTTGGAAAGGGATCAAGGAGGCAATCACTTCAACATGTTAGAGGTTCTGGGCCACAGGAAGTACCACCAAAAGGAATGATGGATCTCTGTTGATACTCTTGAAAAAATTGAAGAAAGGAGGAACAAGAAGGCAGTAATCAATGTCAGCCGAACAAGAGCGGAGAAAGTTACCACACAAGCTGCATACACAGAAGCAAACAGGAAAGTGAAGAAGAGCATCAGAGCTGACAAACGAAAATATGTGGAAGATCTAGCAATGACGGCGGAAAAGGCTGCAAGAGACGGAAACTTGAGACAATTGTACGCAACAACAAAGAAGCTCGCTGGAAACTATCGTAAACCAGAACGACCAGTGAAATGCAAGGAAGGGAAAGTAATCAGTAACACTGACGAACAGCGAAATAGGCGGGTAGAACACTTTCAGGAACTCTTGAATCGACCAGCTCCACTGAACACACCTAACATCGACGCAGCATCCACGGATCTCCCAATTAATATTGGCGCACCTACGATTTAGGAGAACAGTATGGCCATCAGACAAATCAAGAGCGGCAAAGCAGCAGGACCAGACAACATTCCAGCAGAGGCAATGAAAGCAGATGTAGAAGCAACTGCGAAAATATTTCACATTCTCTTCAAGAAGATTTGGGATGAGGAACAAGTACCATCAGATTGGAAAGAAGGATACCTGATCAAAATACCAAAGAAAGGCGATCTCAGCAAGTGTGAGAACTACAGAGGCATCACTCTTCTTTCAATACCAGGCAAAGTCTTCAACAGGGTATTGTTAGACAGAATGAAGGACTTCGTAGACGCCCAACTTCGAGATCAACAGGCCGGATTTCGTAAGGATCGATTGTGTACTGACCAAATTGCTACATTACGGATCATTGTGGAATAATCAATTGAATGGAACTCACCACTCTACATCAACTTCATCGACTACAAGAAAGCATTCGACAGCGTGGATAGGAAAACACTGTGAAGGCTTCTTCGACACTACGGGGTGCCTGAGAAAATAGTCAACATCATACGGAATTCTTATGATGGATTCAACTGCAAAATCGTGCACGGAGGTCAGCTGACAAACTCGTTTGAGGTGAAGACCGGTGTCAGGCAAGGTTGCTTACTCTCACCCTTTCTCTTTCTCCTGGTCATCGACTGGATTATGAAAACGTCAACATCTGGAGGGAAGCACGGTATCAACTGGACAGTTAGGACGCAGCTGGACGATCTGGACTTCGCAGATGACCTGGCTCTTCTATCGCACACTCAACAACAAATGCAAGAGAGGAAGACCAGTGTAGCAGCAGCCTCTGCAGCAGTAGGTCTCAACATACATAAAGGAAAAAGCAAAATTCTCCGATGCAACACAACATGCACCAACCAAATCACTCTTGATGGAGATGCCTTGGAGGACGTTAACACCTTTACATATCTGGGCAGCATCATCGACGAGAAAGGTGGATCCGATGCAGATGTGAGGGTGCGGATTGGCAAAGCAAGGGATGCATTTCTACAGTTGAAAAATATCTGGAACTCCAAACAACTTTCAACCGAAACCAAAATCAGGATTTTCAATACAAATGTCAAGACAGTTCTACTGTATGGAGCGGAAACATGGAGAACTACCAAAGCCATCATCCACAAGATACAAGTATTTATTAACAGTTGTCTACGCAAAATACTTCGTATTCGTTGGCCAGACACCATCAGCAACAACGAACTGTGGGAGAGAACAAGTCAGATTCCAGTGGAAGAGGAAATCAGGAAGAAGCGGTGGAAGTGGACAGGACACACACTACGAAAAGCACCTAACTGCGTCACGAGACAAGCCCTCACTTTGAAACCTCAAGGCCAAAGGAAAATAGGAAGGCTTAGGAACACATTACGCCGGGAAATAGAGAAAGATATGAGAGGAATGAACAAAAATTGGAACGTTTACAAAATTATATGCTGATTTTGGTGATAAATCATGTTTTGTCACTATGAAAGAATGATATAGTGAGTGCATGAATTTGCATTCTTACGCACTTAAATCAAGGAACGTTAAAAAAACGTAGTCTAGCGAGTGTTTGCATAATCCCTGTTACGAGAGGTAGGTCGATCTCATAAAATTCTGAAATAATTTGAGACTGTTTTACTAATGTTTTGCTAACGAAATTTACCTTCACATTTTATATATCAGAATATATAATCATTAGCTGATCGTGTGGTTACTAGTAAGGAAAACCAAACTGTTTTACTAAATGGAGAATACTCAACTAGATTAATATGATTTTGAGTTACTTGTCCTAAAAATTAACTAGATATGAAAAGGAAGATCATCCAGTAGGTAATGATGGTTTATTTTTGAGTGTCTAAAAAATATCATCTCTGGTTGGCGAATTCTTTAATCTATGACTCATGATTCGTTATACTGCTCTCTGTAACTTCGTCCTTTTTATCTGGCACGATCGCGGTATTTTTTTGATGCCACGAGATTACTAGCAAATATATTACATTGTCTCGATCAACTATTCTTCTCTTTCCTTTATTCACAGAGACATTACGCTTAGTGATGGGAACGTAATTGATCTGTAGTGATGTCCGGAGTCAACCGCTTCTCGTCCTACTAAACGTAATGCGGGATTAGATAGATCTTATCCAAAAGAATAAAGTAAACAGTAAAAGAGAGACTTATATTTATCGGTGAATCACCTAAAAATGATGATTGACGGAACTAGTCTATTTAGGAGCTACTATTATTCATGGATTTGATCAATGATGTTTGGTCTAGAGATACCAAGGATGGAGTTGAGTTTCCTTGATTAGTAGCCAATGACAATGGCCTAAGAAGAAATGGGTCACTAACCTTACAACTTCAACCACACATAGGCACAGTAGTTCTGAGTAAAAGTTAAATACCAAATATGGTTAAAGAGCAGAGAAATAACCACACCGTCCAAAACAAACCATGTAGGAATTTTTTAGATATTCCTTCCTTTATAATCTGTTCGTTCTAATAATAACCTATCCGCTTCACTGTGCTGCTGAACAAGACCTCACTAAAGACCTACTACAATCACTTTGCTGGCTTCTAAATAAAATGTGTAAATTTGGAGATTAAGTTTCGACAAGCTTAACGAATAATAATTATCCTTGTAATTGGATTTTCTACCGTAACAGTTCAATTCGATTCCGATAGACGTATGTCTGACGCACTTTCCGATTTAGAATATAAAAACACAATAATTCTAGGGGAAAATGGTCTATTAATAGAGAATAAATGGAAATACAAATAATACCTAACAAATTTTACGCCTTCCAATTCAAAATTACTCTGAATGAGTATCGAGGTTCCGAAGTCTAGGTGAACTCCTATACTGCACGATATCAAATCCAAAAATGTGGCTGTAGCCATATTTTATCGAATTTAAACAACATATGTACAGTTCAGAAGCAAACATAAAAACTTCAATATAAGTACAAAATATAGAAATAATAACAATATACAATGATAAATCTGAAGTTGGAATCAAATAAAATACCAAAAATTTCTTCTAGTGAATGCTTGCCGAATCAAAACATTATGAGTCACTCATCCTGAAACTGTGTCACTCACTTTCCTCAGGTCTAGGTTAGATCGTTTTTGGCCAATTTTCGGCAGAATGATGTGTCAGCAAATCCATTATATATTTATTGTGGCAAAGATCTTCTCCTAAAAAGTGGAAAATGCAATATTAAACGACTGTATGGGAACTGTCACTAATCTATATTTCTTCATGTGGATCCCTGACCTAATACAGATCTTGTTCTACTTAAGCCTGTGGTATCTCATTTGTCATGGTTATACTCTTCAATTTGGCCTGCACTGAAAATTTATGATATGCGTTGCACTAACTAAACATTAGACTTCTATGGTATGATGCAACTAATCACTTTTTTGTGCAGTGGCACAAAAGCAATGTAAAACCACATTGTATGTATAATTTTAATTCTGAATAATCGTAAAATTCCTGCATATGACGTAAAACACTTTACTACTTGAATATGATAGTTTGCACATTCGTCCTTAATAACTTTGTTTGTATGGACCACGTATACATTAACTCTTAAACCTGGAATTTTCATAACTATCAAAATAACCTTCGGTCAGCTGTTATATTAGAAGGGACTAGGATTTCAATGAAATAGGTAATGATTTACCGTGCTTTATTTCTGTTAAAATAATTAATTCTTACATCTGTTTGAGTCTCTTGAATATCAAAGAGGAAGTCTAGCAACCGGTGTTAATCGAAGTACATTTTTAGTCACCCAAAAATCTCAGCATTAGTGATATTGAACTAAACGCACTTGGTTTTTCATTTGAGACCCGAAATAAATTTTTGCACGAGGTTATTTACTAGGTACTATTATTGGCTAATATTTTCGAAACAATTATTTATACTCTTACCATTTTCGTTATTTAGGCACATATTTAAAATTTATTCCTTTATCCATAGGTTATCGTTCTATTATTAGTAATTATCTCGCATCTTCTTGGCGGAATGAAATCCCTGCTCTTTAAAATCCAGTAATCAGATTTAATGGCATGTTTTTTCGTCCAACATAGTGGTTCTTAACATGTTAAAAGTATCAAATGTTGGAAAATATATTTTAGCCAAACCTTCTTTTGAACGTTTCGCAATGATAGTAATGCCTAAGCAGTACTAAGCAGGAATAATGATCAGGAGGTCATCTTCTCTGGCTAATTTATGAGTAGTTTAAAGGAGATCCCAGGTTTTGCATTTATAGCACTGTTAAACTTCAAATCGTTAGCTGTGTAGATACACTGAATTTACAGTCTGTAGTAGTTAGGATGACTGGTCATAATCATACTGTACATACTTGAGTTTTTAGAATTTGGAGGTTGTGTATGGCTGATCCAGGTGGAGCTGTGGTCAGTTAATGTTATTCGACTGTAATCCGTAATATTCTGGGAAGCTTTTCTTCAAAATTAAACATCATTATGTATTCGTGTTTTGGGAAGGTCGCCCACCTGTTGAGGTGAAATGAGTTCGACTGGAAAACAAAGTAACGAGTAAATGGATTGTAGTGATGATGTTTATTGTATCTTACACTAGTTACAGACTCGTAGAAATTTGAAAAATGACAACATACTTGTTTCATCAAATAGGCTTTTGTATTATCATTTACGTGCTCTGTATTTTGAAGTGGTGTACACTGATATAACTACCGTTTATTAATAGCCTGTAATTTCTTCTGTTTAGACCTATCATCTACTTGTTGGTTCAAGAGAAAACTCAGCCCAATGAGCTTATGCATTAAAATCCCAGTATTAGTAGTATGTGATCAAATTATATACCGTTGAGTGTGATTTTTTATTCCTTCACCTTCCAGGCTAGATCGTTTATTCTTAGTATCTTTAAGATATGAACTGGACTGTGTGCGTAGTCTTAAGTGTTATCGAAAGTTACTCTGCACACTTAACCGCTCTACATATACAAAAATCTATTTCTTTAATCTCATTAAAGGCAATTCTTGGGTGATTTTTTTTATCAGACCACTGTCATGGTAAGGACATTTCAAGTCTATTTAGGAGCACAAGGAAGTAGCTCAACGCGAAGCAACAGCAGCAATAGCAGTTGCAGTAACAGTAGCGATAGTGATGACCGTACCTACAGCTGTGTACATTGTCGCGCTCACCTTGCTCGTCATCAAGATCTTATTTCCAAGTCATTTCAAGGAAGCCAAGGTCGCGCATATTTGTTCGAAACAGTCGTGAATGTATCGTGTGGGAAACCAGAAGAAAGGCTCCTACTCACCGGTAATTCAAAAATGTTTGTACTTGCTACAATAAAATATGGTTTATCCTGTTTATATATATATATATATATATATATATATATATATACTTAATATAGTGACCAATGTTTGTTAGAATATTTAAAACGTATTTCGTCACTTGTTTGAGATATCCAGGACTTTTAGAAATAACATTTGATGTGGAAAGTTTTCTTTTTATTTGAATAAACTGAAAATCAGAAATACTTTTGTGTCTGTACACTAAAGACAGTCTAAATTTTCTTCTATATGTTTTTAGCATGCTTTTTTTTAATTTTGAGGTTTTATCTGAGAGTTTCAGTTACTTTACTTACTACCAGTGTGTTGTGGTTTTAAAATTCGTATTTATAATAATGTGATTGTCTAAGTAAAACTAAATGAGAGATATTTACACTTCATTCACCTGTCTATACTACTGAGTAGTGAGGTAGCGTAAAAAGCTGCAACTGTGAATAATAATGAATATGTTTATGCTAAATCACAATAATATTTAGTAACAGATGACTGGTCTTTTCTATAATATGCACCTATCTTAACGTGTAGACCTATTACCAGTGCTGGGGATTTCTGTCCCAAGTATGGAGCACTTAATATATTCATACCAGATTAAGCTTGTACATTCAGTGGTGTTCTTATCTAATTTTTTATTAGTAATGAATTAGGTGGTCACATAGTAATAAATTTCACGACACATGTATTGCCGTTTGTGTTCCATATAATTTATTAAGCGTGAGAAAGTTACTACCGTAGCTGATACCTTGACTTGGCGGTCAAGCTTGCAGATCGTGATGACCAAACCGAGCAATATTAGCTGGAAAATATGTTCCTGAAGGTTCTACCATGCCAGGCAGGTCAATTGGAGAACGAGGAGACTGAAAGCAGCTACCCAAGGTCTTACGGCGAACTCGTACTGTTGACTGTAGAGGAGTGTGATAGCAGTAAGGTGTTTCCCTCGGAAAAACAGCATCTGTAGCGATGCTGCCTTCTCACACGGAAGGGTCAGAAAAGGTCACACCTCACCTTACCTCGTGGACAATAAAGCTAACAATATATTTCAGTAGCAACTATAAAGAGAGTTAGGAAACCGTGTAAGCGATTCCCATCCGCAAGCAGGTTGGAATGACAAAAGGGCTGTAGAAACAGCAGTGGTATCGGGCAAGGTAAACCATAGTGTTAGGAAAAATCCGTGGACCTCAATAGCATCCACTGAACCGATGGATGCTTGAAAACGCATCCCACCTGGCTCTGAAAATGATAAGGAGCAGAGTCAGCTTAGGTGTAGGCTAATAAAAAGCCTACGTAATGACCGCGGACATTGGTGGGTGTCGAAAGCAAAAGCCATGGAAAAGGTAGCGGTAGTAGGCAGAAGTATACAGTTGTTCTGCCTTATCAAGGAAGTTGTTAATAGAAATCCATCTGTTAGCGAAACTATCTCAGATAGGGATGCCCGTATCATTCATTTTCAACCCAGGAGATCGGATCGATGGACAGAAAACTTCAGGGATCAGTTCAACTGGCCTTCAGCCATACTTCGGTTATCCACGATCTCCAGTCATCCTGAATGGCAAATCGATATAAGTCCTCCTAGTCTATATGAAGTTGCGAAAGCTATAGGAAATCTAAGGCGGGGTAGAGCAGCAGGTCCTGATAAGCTAACTCCTGAGATTTCTAAGGATGGTGGTCCAGCTTTAGCAGCTAGATTGACTGAGATATTATGTAGAATCTTGGAACTGGACGCAATCCCATCTGATTGGTCTCAATCCCTGATTGTCCCAATTTATAATCACAGCGAAATAAGTCTAACTGATATAGTTTCTAAATTGTTAGCCTCGATTATACTTAAACGCCCTACTAGTGCTCGTAAAGAGCAGACTCGAGAAAACCAGTCTGGTTTTCGACCTGGACGTGGTTGTATAGGCCACATTTTCACACTACGACAGGTCCTGGAACACAGACATACATTTAGGCGTCCTACAATAATTGTGTTCCATGACCTTAAGGCGGCATTCGACTTAGTGGATCGTGAGGTTCTGTGGCAGTGTCTGTCATTGAAAGGTGTAGCAAAGAAGTACATTAACCTTATATAAGCTCTCTACTCGAACACTACTGGTCGAGTGAGAGCTTATGGTGAACTGTCACCGGAATTTTCTACTTCAAGTGGTGTCCGTCAGGGATGTCCACTCTCTGCATTCTTGTTTAACTTTGTCATAGATATACTTTTAGAGTTAACATTATCGTCGTCTGACTCTTCGTGTGTGGACCTTCTACCAAGAGACATGCTTGCTGACCTAGAGTATGCTGATGACTTAGTCTTATTCGGTGAAGATGCTGACAAAATGCAGAATCTTCTGACTACCCTAAGCAACGATGCAAGCATGTTAGGGATGCAAATCTCTCGCTCGCAATGCAAAATGTTGCTTCAAGATTGGGTTTCATCGGTGCCTGAACTAGTGATAGGGAGTGAAGTAGTCGAGCATGTAGACCGCTTCACTTATCTCGGGGGTCTCATCAGTGCTGATGGCCTGGTGACTGACGAAATCTCAGCTCGGATAAAGAAGACTCGATTGGCTTTTGCCAACTTGCGTCACTTATGGTGTAGGCGAGCTATCCGTCTGCTAACCAAAGGACGAGTGTACTGCACAGCAGTTCGTTCCGTCCTACTTTATGGCTGTGAAACATGGCCGTTAAGAGTGGAGGACTTTCGTAGGTTACTAGTCTTCGACCGTAGGTATCTCCGATGCATTGCTCGTGTATAGTGGGACAACTGAGTAAGCAATGTTGTTATTAAGAAACGGGTACTAGGTAATGATGGCAGATCAATAGATGAAGAATTGAAACTTCATCAGTTGAGGTGGTTGGGAGATGAGTTATGTACGCCCACTTGCCGGCTGCCTTGATGAGCACTGTTTTGTGGTGTAGTGGTAGGTTGGAAGAAAGCTAAGGGTGGCCAAACCAAAACATGGCACAAATTCATGAAGTCACTGACAAGTGAACTGAGTCATGTAGGTAGGTAGACTACCTGGTTGGGGTGCACGAGATGATAGTAATCGATGGTTAGGGACATGGAACAACATGACTCAAAACGGTTTGCAATGGCGTAGGTGCATCCGTTCTTTAGCTTCTCCCAAATCCTAACCTTCAGAGTTCCTTATCACGTTTATCTTTCTCTTTTTAAGTTTGCTGCACTAGATTATACTTCTTGAATAGTTTCTTCGAACTATAACCTCTCCGACTATTGCTAATACTTCTACTATAGCTACCAATATGGGATTTGAATTGACAACTGCGTCTCTGTGCTAATGTGGTATGGCTACCTGAACTTATATACGTACGTATGAAGTTCTATGTCGTAACTGAGTGAGAATGGAGGTAAATTGTAACAAGCAAGCTTACTTTGAGAAATAATTCTATATATTATATTTGCTGATGTTGTTAAAATGATAAAATTACTTTTGATTGGCTCCAACTTTTTTCTGATGCTTGATATATCTTGTTGACTAAACGTAGAAGGTTAGCAATTTTTGCACATACTTCGTTTGAACGATATCTCAAATATTTTATTGATGACAGAATAAATATGTATCAGGTTTTTAATGCCTATTTTAATTAATACGATTTCCACTTGGTCGATAATAACTCTACGTATTAATATTGTCGTGAATCTTGCTGGATGAGCTATGATTCAGAAAGAATAAGTCGCAGTTTGTTGTGTCTCGGTTTAGTTTAGCCATACCTATGAAACTGCAACGCTGTAACCTACTTTTTAAGTCCTTCAAATTAATGAACAGGAACAGTAGAAGAATGTTAAGTGTACTTATTTACAGGTACTGAATCTGAGCTAGATTTATCTATATTTACGGTTACAGACAATAGTTATAAAATGCTTTTGATAACCGGATCGATAATCGAATCAAGCTATATCATTCTGAATAAAGTGACGTACCGAATCTTTAAGCTCGGCTGTCAGATTTTACTATGTAATCGAGCCCAATACCGGTTATTATTCAGTGATATTGGCTAGCGATAAGGGTGAGTGAAGTAGTTCTAATTGTTTAAATGTGATATATGAATAGTAGTAATCATATGTGACAGAGCCTAGATGCTAAATTACTTATTTGAAATGTCTCCTTAAATTGTTTATAAAGTAATTATACTATTAATAGGATTATCTAACTTAGCGCTGACTGAAAACATAACTTAGCTGCAAATATTGAACGAAATTGAGAAAATATTTGTTTCTTTACAGAAATCGAGTTAATAGTTTAGTTTTTTGACTAAGTAAATAGACTTGATGGCTTGATTCAATTAGATCGATTGAGTGTCAAACCAGCAATCAAATACCACACTGATTCACATATTTTCAAATATAAGATTTTATTTAAATTAATTTTGTCGTTCACAAGCTCGTGTATCATTTTGACCTTATAAGGTGACACTAGAATAGAGGTCAAATGGAAGTTATTGCTGAAAAATAAAATTTATGTTTTATAAACTAGTCGAAAACATTGTAACATGTTTACAACTCATATTTGCTGTTATTCCTCTAAATCACATTCTTTTTTCATTGGATTTATTGTTTTGCCGTTAGTTGTAGATACTAATAAATAAACTTCCTTAAAAATTTGTTCAAATTTCAATTGATTCATATGTTCAATGTTGTCTTAGAAAATTTGATTATTAGCTGTTAAAGCAAATAGATAAATTTTACTAGAATTATATTGAAGTAACGGTAAGCAGCAAATAATAATGAAATCTTAGTCATCGTTATATGCAGTGGTTTAATGAAAAAAATTGTTATTAAATAACCTTAAAATTGTCTAGCATGTATGCTGAGGATTTATTATTATTATTATTCGCTTCTTGGTTACAAGATTGAATGAAGTTGTTCAGTGAAAATATTGAAAAATTTGTTACAATAGGGAAAGTAACAAGCTTTGGGATTGTGTTGATCATAGAAAGTTAAACTAAAGAACATATTTTAAT